ATGACCTTCACCCATGGGCCCCGGAGCCTGACCCACTGTGCACCCACTATGGACCACATGTTCAGTCCTGGTTTAGTCCTGGTCTAATCCTGGTCCTGCATGACCAGGTTAGACGTTTCTAGACGTTAAGTCCTCCATGGTCTAGGTTTAGTCCAGACTTTAGTCCTGGTTTTGTCCATGTTTAGGAGTCCTGTGGGTTCTGATTTAGAGATGCTTTTCATCCCTCGTGCAGTCAAAATGTCCTTGGTCCAAAAGTTGGTTCTGGATTGGTTCAAAATTATGTTGCTTGCTTTGAGCCTTATTTGTTTAGATGGTTTTGTCTTGGTTTAGTCCTGGTGTAGTCCTGATCTAGTCCTGGTATAGTGATGCTCTAGTCCTGGTATAGTCCTGGTCTAGTCCTGATCTAGTCCTGATCTAGTGATGATCTAGTCCTGGTATAGTCCTAGTCTAGCCTAGTCTATGCCTGGTTTAGTCCTGGTATAGTCCTAATCTAGTCCTAGTCTAGGCCTGGTTTAGTCCTGGTTTAGTCCTAGTCTAGTCCTGATATAGTCTTAGTCTAGTCCTAGTCTAGTCCCAGTCTAGTCCTGGTATAGTCTTAGTCTAGTCCTAGTCTAGTCCTGATATAGTCCTAGTCTAGTCACGGTATAGTCCTGGTCTAGTCCTAGTCTAAGCCTGGTTTAGTCCTGGTATAGTCCTAGTCTAGTCCTAGTCTAGGCCTGGTTTAGTCCTGTTTAACACTTGTTAAATTTTGGATAAACATTCACAGTTTTAGTTCTGGTTCAGAACTGGTTTGAGCCCCTATTCCTGGGCGATTTTATGTGGTCCTGGTCAAGTCCTGGTTTAGTCTTGATTTAGTCCTGGTTTTGTTCCAGGTATGTGTGCAAGTGCATGTGATATTCTGGTTTTATACATTTTAGTCCTGTTTTAGTCCTGGTTTAATCCTGTTTTAGTCCTGGTTTAGTCCTGTTTCAGTCCTGTTTTAGAGCTGTTTTGGTCGTGCTTGTGGATACTCGTGTTTTCTGTCAGAGCGAGCGTCCTTATTAACATACCCACGCTAATGTTGTTGATTCGCTCTATAAATAGCCGGTTCCTCGTGCGCCTTCATCATGTAAATCCTATGGCAACCCCAGCCCGCTCCGCGCTCTCCTCCTCCCCGCCTACCACGCATTGCGGAGCGGACACACCCCTCCTGCACATCCGCTCCGCTGCACACGCTCCACAAATGTGTCAATACACCACGAGTGTCCTACTTCCGAGGCGAAAACACGGCACCGCGGGAGACGGCACCAGGGGCACGGCCGGTGTACTACGCAAGGGCACACCGGCACAAACAGCACTGCGATCAAACCCAAGCAAAAGAAGAGCTTTCGCTATTTTGCCTGGTTTGGTTAAATTGGTTCACTTTGAGCCCTGTTTAGTCCTGGTAAAGACTAGATCTGGTTTGGTCTTAGTCTAGTTCTGGTTTAGTCCCTGGTTAAGTCCTGGTTATGCCCTGGTTTAGTCCTTGCGTTAGTCCTGGTTTAGTCTTTGATTTAGTCCTGGTTAAGTCCTTGATTAGTCCTGGTTTAATCTTTGATTTAGTCCTGGTTTAGTCCTTGTTTTAGTCCTGGTTTAGTCCTTGATTTACTCCTAGTTAAGTCCTTGATTTAGTTCTTGTTTTAGTCCTTGACGTAGTCCTGGTTAAGTCCTTAATTTAGTCCAGGTTCTGTGTGGTCTAGTCCTGGTTTAGTCTTTGATTTAGTCCTGGTTTGGTCCAGGTTCAGTGTGGTCTAGTCCTGGTTTAGTCTTTGATTTAGTCCTGGTTTGGTCCAGATTCAGTGTGGTCTAGTCCTGGTTTAATCCTTGAACAGCTCATGTGACTTTTACATTCTGAGTCAGATATTGACACTAAACAAAGAGCGTTTAAGAATCCACACCTTGATAACAGTGAAACATGGGAGTGAAATCAAAATAATGAGCCCATTTCAACTCGTGTGTGTGTGTTTTTAGTCTGATGTAATAGTGTACATAGTCACCTGTGTGTTTTCACATTGGCCACATCAGAGCTGCTGTTTTTAATCCATTCATTCACTTCAGAGAGAGAGAGAGAGAGAGAGAGAGAGAGAGGGAGGACAGACACAGAGGAGGAGGAGGGGAGGAAAGAAAGCGAGAGAGCGAGAGGCAGAGAAGAGGATGAAAGAGCAGAGGGAGAGTGAAGATGGGGGAGGGATAGAGGAACAAGAAGCGAGTGAGGGGGTAGGAGAATAAATTAGGGGAAGAAAGATAGTGAGAAAAGACAGAAAGAAGGAAGGGAGAAGTTGGAAGTGAGAGAGGAGGGAGGGGTGACTGAAAAGGAGGAGAGGAGATAGAAGAGGTTGGGATGAAGAGGAAAGGAGGAACGAGAAAAATAGGGAGGGAGAGAAGGGAAGAGAGAAGGCAAGGGAGGGATAGAAGACAGAAAGAAGAGAGGGAAATGGAAAGAGATGGGAGGAGAAGAGGGGATAGAAAGAGAGACAGAGAGGGGGGAGTAGAGGATGAAAGAGGAGAGATGTAGAGCAAAGATGGGGGAGGGACAGAAGACAGAAGGAAGAGAGGTAAAGAGAGATGGGAGGAGAAAGGGGGATAGAAAGAGAGGGAGAGAGAGGAAGGAGTACAGGATGACAGAGCAGCGGGAGGGTGAAGATGAGGGAGGGATAAAGGACAGAATGAAGAGAGGAGAGAGAGATGGAGGAGAAGAGTTGAGAGAGAGAGAGAGAGGAGAATGAGTAGGGGATGAAAGAGAGAGAGAGAGAGAGGAGAATGAGTAGAGGATGAAAGAGAGAGGAGAATGAGTAGAGGATGAGAGAGAGAGAGAGAGAGAGAGAGAGAGGAGAATGAGTAGAGGATGAAAGAGAGAGGAGAGAGCGCGCGGGTCCGTGTCACTTTAACGCTCACGCGGTCAGAGTTGTTTACCTCTCGGTTACCTCTGACGTCAGGACACACCCCTGCTCCAGTGGGCGGGACTGGGCGTGATGGAAGGGACCCCGGCCAATCAGCGCGCAGAGGAGCGGGGAGAGCTCGCCTGTGATTGGCTGTGGAGGGGGCTGGGGGGAAATCCCTCTTTTTTTTCCCTCTCGCAGAGAAGCGCTCTCTAGATCCCAGGCGTTTGGCCCGGGGGTGGGGTGGCACGTCACATGTGTGTTGTTGACCATCAGTGTGTGAAACAGGATGATGTGGAGAAGAAAACACACTGAAATGACAAGAGTTCCAAGAAAAATAATGCTTAAAGGACTCATATTATGCTATGTTCTTTTGTAGATTCCTCATCACAAACACAGTTTCATTTACACGTTTAACACACAAACCCTTCACATTTAGGATGAGTTCTTCTCAAACAGAAAACACTCTGCTCCACTTTGTGATGTCATGCAGTAATAGGCTACAGGACCTGCTCTACTGTGTTTTTAGACTCAATACACCTTCATTAGAATCTGTCATATCATTTCAGCCCTGTAATTTCCCATCTCTACTGAACAAAAGGTAAAAGAAGCTGTTAAGTCAAAACTACCACTTCATGACATCACAAGGTGGAGATGTAGACAGACTAATCATAAAGAGTTACTCAAACATGCGTGAATGAAACAAACACAACTCCAGGTCTGTTTTTGAGGAAGTAACAACATTTATCACATTTATCAGTTTTAAACTCACAAGAATCCAGTGTGCATAATACAGGATCTTTAATAACAGAACCAGACTGAAACTCTCTGTCTGCATTTAGTAAAATCAGGATTCACCTACATGTGTATATCTGGAATTTCCCCAATGTGGGACACATAATGGTTCTCTTATCTTATCTGTTTTGGTTCAGTCTCTTTTATTATGGTGTATGTGTTATCATCATTATACCGTTTAATATTGGATAGCTTATATGACTTTTTAATTATTAAGCAGATACTGACAATAAATGTAGCCTATGATAATAATAATAATAATGATAGGCTATGTAATATAATAGTCTTATTGCTGTTCTTATCTCTTATTGAATTGTTTTAATAAAGATTCTGTGTATCTTCTGGGATGTATTTGTATTTGTAGTGTCATCTTGCCTAGTCTGCATTTGTGAGTATTTATGTTTAAACATTTCTTTAGTGCGCTATTGGAGGGTTGAGAGGGAGGGGAGAGCTGTAGCCTTTAAAGCAACGGGAAACTGACAGACCACAACAGTTTGACTATTGTTTTATACTTTGTCATTGTTATGGGAACAAATGACCCAGAGGCCAGAAAACAGTTCTCTTCTATGCAGTTGCTTTGACCTGAGGCTGAAGGTTAATATCTCTGTGCTGTTTATTTATTCACACGGAAATAGAATGGAATAACATAACGGCCATGACAGTAGTCAACAGCAGAAAATGAATACTGATTTAGTGAGCTCAAGTCCATCAGGAAATAATGAGGTCCAATATTTTAGATTTTAGATTTGGATATTTTCCCCCAGTGTGGGACAACGGAATGTTCGTTTATCTCTCGTGGCTTCAAAGCAGTACTAGCTCCTGCTCCACATGTGAGATTTCAGTATATTTACAGTGTTTCCCATACATATGGTTAAGATTATAGTGGTCGCACAGGTTATTTTTATTTCAGTAATCTTATTAATTTCATTCAGTTGTAGGATATAAATGTCACTTACTAATTTTTGACTAATCTGATGCCTGCCAACACCTAAGAGGATCATAAATGACCATTTCTTTAGCCAAAAACACAGAAAACCGTGTTTGCAAATTACCATAGAGCAAAAAAAAAAAGGCAGCAACAGAAGTCTCTCAGATTATGACTGACACGAGAACGAAGAATGTTACAAGCTCTTTTCATATTTTTATTTATACCAACCGTCCCAACCCGGGTGTGTCCCAGTTTAGAATTTTGAAAATCTGCCCCCCACCTTAATCCTAAATCCTGATTCCAATGTTATTTAAGAATGGGGACGAAATGCCCAGGCTGTAGCGCTGCGCTCGAAGAGGACGGAGGCGGAGCATAGCAAAAGTAATGGCCATCTATTTGGGTCGTACAGAAGGAGCGACGCTTTTTCTCGCTCCGAAGCTGGATTTTTGAGCCTTTTCGACAGCTCAACCCGCCCGCTATCGGTCCTGTTTGTACCCTACTCCCGTTTACAAACATTGATTCGCTGCTACGCGGAACCAAGCGGGTCAAAGCGTCCTAAACTTCGCCCCAAAGCAGCGAGCTAGCCTCGGCTAACGCTAGCTCCATTAGCGCCGCTGCTGCTCCGTGCACGTCTGCAGAACGAGAAGGGCGTATTGGGAGTTTTTCCACGTTTTTCTGCTAAACTTGTGGCTTTACACGAGTTTGTATCACTGGTTTCTTACCGTTGAAGCTTCTGGGAGTGGAGGGGCGCACAGGGCGGATTTCCAGCGGGCATGAGAGCGACCAAAGCGGATTAAAAGCCAGGTGAACTCGGGTCTCTCCATGGAGAAAAGTTGAGCTAAGGTAGGCAACTGGCGGAATGCACAAAGTTTGGAGTTGTCGTAGTTTGTGCAACACGTTTTTCTCTCTTTTGTAAATCTAGCAAAAGTGTATGTTTTTATCCACTGAGCTTGCATATGCCTCTGATTATGGTAAACAGCTATAGACACGAGTTTTCCACCGTTCAACCAGCAAAATGCATTTCATTTAAAATGCCCTTTTAACTAAATGTATTCATTTCAACAAGCTTATTCAAAACGGGTGATATGATTTCCATATAGAATTAACTACTAACTACTTTCAACTTTGCCCTAGAAAAAAATAAATAAATACATTTTAAGTCTGTATCTTAATTTTTGACGTAAATGCAACGTTGAAAAATTCCTATATTCTTCTTATTTTAATTATTGTAATTTTAAATGTATGTTATTAACACATTTATTACACCTATATTCGCCATGCTTATTATTTAATGCGTTTTGGATGGTTTAATATGTTCACCATAACCACACGCATACTTGTATACTGTTTTTCTATACACTTAACATTTTCACGTGATTGATTATGAAAATACGACATTACTATTATTACTTTGCTTTTTACAAGTATTAGTGACAGTAGCCAGACCGTAAATAAACAGTTTTTATGTTTCGCTCATTTTCTTTAAAGTTTTGGTGATTATTTGCGTGAAAATAGTTTACAGCGTTACGTAAACACAGCGCAGAGGTCAGGTATGTCGTACGTAGTAGAGGATAGGCCCACGCGCCAGTCAAGTGAACTGATTGCGAAATGGCACTTTTTCTTTTTTGGTGTTAACAGGATTATCGTGTGGGATAAAGAAGAAAGGTTTTCACGTCTGGCCCGCTGAAAAGAGCATGTTAAACCCGCAGGTAAGCCTCAAACGCGTGTCACTCTGGAGCTATTTCTGACCCCTCCACGCACGCCACACGCCCACTGGTCATGATCTGATAGTGAAAGCAAGGGACAAGTTGGATTTATTGATGTCAAAAAATCATATTGATAAAATGAACCTTTTTTATGGATTAATTACCTCTTCAGAGAAAAAAAAAAAAAAAAAGTGTAACTTTTTGGGAGAAAGGTCAGCTACTTGTTTGTCTCTATGGAGATGTTATTGCTTTGCCTACTTTTGTTAATTATAATTGAATCCAAATCGTAATTTGTATGGTGGCAATTAGTAAATGACAAAACTGCAATTTTAAATGTGGACCTATTCGGCAAAATAGACTCAAAGCTTTTAACCATGTTATAAAATAGAAGTATGTGTCAGAAAAAGCGCTATACTAGTTTTATGTATTATTACTGATATTATTATGATGATGATTATTATTATAGTTGTTTCCCCTCACTATTTGCTCACCCAAAGTTGTATCTATAGTGATTCATGAACGTTTGAGTGATCTTTAAATGCTTATTTTCAACAATTCCACTGTGACTTACGCACTTTGTTCTCCAGTTTATTTTTTAATTGGTGATATGTGTAGCATTTGTCAGCATAGTCATAGGAAAAAAAATATCTGCTGAGATGTGGAGCCATCTGCAGGAGGGGCCGACAGCATGCGGCGCTTTGTTGCCCTTTTTAATGCGGAAGTCAGTGGACTTGTTTCTTTTATTAAATCGTTTATATCAGACCAAATTGTAACATAATGATTCACGGGAGTTATAGATTATAGCAACACACAAGCACAATAGGTCTGATTTAAAGACGCACTATGTAATGTTTAGGGAGAAGGGACAGCTTCCGGTTTATCTCTATGGGGATGTTATTGCTTTGCCTAGAATAGTGCTGAAAGATTAATCACAATTTGAATGGACACAATGAACACCACCAGTGCAATGTCACTGCAGCGTATCAAGCATGAACTAGAATTAGTTTCTCAATTTCTTTTCAGCTTGTTTTTAGCCTATGTTTTAGCCCTTTATTATTGGTAGACCTGCCTTTTGAATTTTACAACTGACAATAATCACGCATGTGTGATTTTGTCATTATATTGAGTCAATAATTTCACCTTAGTTCATTTATACTGACAGAGATGAGGTGGTAAGATATCACTTTTGATTGAAACAAAAATAATAAATAGATGTGCTACTTTCACAACATGTTAGCTAAATGGGCAACAGATTGCAATGGGGTCACCTTGTTATGAAAGAACCAATCACTTAATTTTATATTTAAAACTGTATCAGCTACTACTACCTAAGTAGTAGAGGTGATGGTACTGGTGATTGTAGTAGTACTAGTAGTAGTAGTAGTAGTAGTAGTAGTAGTAGTAGCAGCAGCAGTAGTAGTAGTAGCAGCAGTAGTAGTAGCAGCAGTAGTAGTAGCAGCAGTAGTAGTAGTAGCAGCAGCAGTAGTAGTAGTAGCAGCAGCAGTAGTAGCAGTAGTAGCAGCAGTAGTAGCAGTAGTAGCAGCAGTAGTAGCAGTAGTTGGAGCAGCAGCAGTAGTAGAAGTACTAGTACTAGTACTAGCAGTAGTAGTAGTAGTTTTAGTGATAGTTCTCAAACAAATATGGAAAGTCATTACTGTTGGCAGCCTTTCAAAAGTGTTACCAAACCCCGATCCACACGCCCACGTCCTGTCTAATATTTTCTATGATTATTATGTCACCAGCTTTGTGTAAATGTTCTTAGTTTGTTTTTGTTTTTTTTCAAAGGCAACAAGTGAAAGTAAACTGTTTATTTAGAAGAAGTCATCTATTTTTAGTCTAATTAGGGCCCAACCGATATGAATTTTTTGCGACCAGTATCATTCCAATAAAATGGGACTTGGAGGAGCCAATAGCCGATATAACAGCTGATATATTTAGTGATGTAAAAAATTCACTATAAATCTGGCTCTACTGGATTTTAAATTGAGTCTATTTTGGCAACATTTACTGTTCTTCTGTCTCTTTACATCATATTTAAGGACAGTAGGTTGACCTAATGGCATTTTTGCATGATATTCTAGCCTGTAAACAAAGTAAGTGAACTACCACTATTATGCATGCACACCGTGGTAATTAATCATATATGTAAATCATTCACACCTCCATTCACAGCTCCTATACATGTCAACAGAGGTCCAGTAACATGTATACAGCTGTTACTTTACATTAGGCCAGTGTAAGAAAACAGGCTGTTTATGTGTGGGAGCTACAGCAGCTAAGCTCTAACCAATGAGAAACAATGAAAACTAGCTTCAAAAACCGCCGCATTTGCATAACTCACTGCTCACACAGGCTCCTCTCAGATCACAGGTCTTCATAAATAAGTGCCCTTTTTTAAATTCTGATTCAAGGGTAGCTGCTGGGTCTTAAAAGTGTTAAAAAGGTCTTAAATTTCATGTTCCTAAATTAAGGCCTTAAAAAGTTTTATTCTGTTGTCCAAGTCTTATTTTTTCAAAGGTCTTAAATTTCATTAGCCTATTTTTTTGTATACTCAGCTGGGCTGTAGTGTAATGTTAAAGGGATGGAGGAAAAGTAAAAACAACATGAAATCATGTAACGTGAATGAACGTCTAATTTGGAGTATGCGCAAACAATATTTTGGTATCTGGCGCCGGCAGCAATGAGTAAACAATCAGTAGAGTGGAGGAAGATGTTGGATGAATCATGGGAAAGTGTAAGTTTAATCCACACTGGCTCTTAGGTTCTAGATCAGTGGTCCCCAATACGTCGATTGCAAACTACCAGTCGATCACCAATGTAGTGTGGGTAGATCGCAGTGTTGTAGCACTTGTCGCATTTGGACTCAGTCTTGTCTGTCACTTGAGGCCTGACACTCGACAAGCGCGTTCATATTACGACCGCTGGTGCCGGCAATAAACTTACCGGTATGCGGGAGCGTGCAGTTGTGTGCAGGGCGTCTCTGTAACCTGTGCGCTCTTTCGGAACCTGTGGATAATGAGCTGCACATCACAATCAGACACACTCCCTGTGCGTGGCTTGTCCGCAACAGCTTGTGCCCTTGTGGACCAGCGTGTATCACAGGGCAGGTTAAACTTTTTAAAACATCCTACCTGTCCACCTACCTCAGGTCAGCACGCCGCTCCTCACCTTTTCACACTCTCGCTCCTCCTCGTGTACAGCGCACACAGGCTTCTTCCACAATGTGCTGATTAGAACAGCAAGACGAAAAGCGAAGCAAAAACTCATCTAAATGTATGTTAGTGTTGTCACAGAGGATGCCTACAGCACAGAGCAGGTCTACTGCAACATGTGGCTGAAGTTTGCCTAATAAAAGTGCACAAATGCATCTGTGTTTGTGGTGTTTTGCGATGCGTTTGGTAAATGTGCAGAGGCTAAATCCCACTGCAACACCAGTAAGAGAATGTAACTCCACTTAGGAACTTGGAAAAACAGAAAATCTACCCACTCTCTTCACTTTTTTCACTGTTTTGTGTAAAGTGCCAGTGAAAGTTCTCTTAAAGAAGGGGTCCTCAAACTGAGGGTGAGGGTCCAAAAAAGAGGCACAGAGTGTTTAAGTGCAGTACAGTTGGCTTGGCTTTGTAGTAGGTCGATCATTTTATAAGTAGCTCGCGTGCTGAAAAAGTATGGGCACTAAAAATAGTAGTTGGTTGGTCATTATTAGAATTGGATCTGGTGTGTTTTGCCCGCACAATAGGTGCGATGTTGGTCTTAATTTTCATTTAAGTGGTCTTAAAAAGGTCTTTAATTTGAGATAGTCAAACCTGGGGATAACCTGGACTCAAAAATGATTGTCCATAAAAGGAATATAATCCAGCATGTTGACCGCAGCTGCATATGTAAACAAGCGCACGTGAGTGACGTGACTCTGGAGGTGCGTTCAGGGACAGTACGGAGTCACAGACGCAAACAAATTACTCCGCAGATAAATATTGATGCGGCATTACATATTAGGATATGTATCCATCTGTAAATTGGGTTAATTGAACATAACATAGAAAGTTTAAACTTTATAAGGAGGTACGTGGACTATCTGCCTATAACGGCAAGATTTAGGCTGGTAGCAGATATTTCTCCAAGTGCCCAAATCGGCTGATAATATTGGCCAACCGATATATCGGTCGGGCCCTAATTCTAATACAAATTTCTGTTCATGCCATTATAGTATATAGTGTCATCATTTCAGATGAAGGGCAAGGGACTATATAACTAGATCATGTGAGATTCACTGTTTTTGCTAGAAATATGCAATTGTTTGAGCTTGTCTCCACAAACGTATATTAGTCTTGTGTCTTAAAGTCTGTTTAATTGACACACTCACATCTTTGGGTTTGAATAATGGCTTAACAATCAAAGCTTATTTGCTTCCTGCTTATTTATGTATTGCTGACAGAGAATAGACTGAACTTTGTGCCAGTTTTTGTTTCATGTGGATAGGTCCAATAATTACAGAGATAGGAACCATAAACCAGGTTAACAAATCTGCAATCTGACAGTTACTGCGAACTCCACCTGAGGATTCTGACCTGTCTCAGCTTGGGTTAAAAGGCCTATATGGTGCTATTTTTTATCTGTTATAATGTTGTGCCCTCATCACAAACATACCTGGAGTTGTGTTTTGTTTCATTTACTCATGTTTAACATACAAACCCTGCACATTTGGGCTAAATTCTTCTCTCAAACTGAAAACACACTATTCCACCCTGTGATGTCATGTGGTAATACAGGAAACTCTCCAGCTGTGTTTTGAAACTGCATACACCTTCACTAGAATAATATCAGCCCTGGCATTGCCAGTCTGTACTGAACTAAAGGTAAAAGGAGCTGTTCATTTGACAAGGTGCAACAGAGCATTTGGAGCGTTGGAGATGTAGACAGAATAATAAAAAACGAGTTCCTCAAACATGTAAATGACACACACACAACTCCAGATATAGGGGTGTGTAAAAATATTGAAATATCAA